CCAAACAAATGGGTTCTTATCGTACTTTAAGTATTCATAACTATGACTTAAGATTTATGTTGTGAATTAAATTGAGTAAATACCTTACAATCGCTTTAAAGCCAATATAACTTTTCGTCCTTTTCTCTGACAGATGGGTTATAATCTATTCATGTAGATGAGTAGAAAGCGACCATGAGAAAATAATAAAAAATTAAATAGAAAATAACACATCCACCAAACGTATGAATATTTAAAAGAGGAACACATATACAGCTAAACAAATTGACACGCATTCGTATATGCGTACGTATGTTCTTTTCGGAAGCATTTAAAGCATGTTATTAAAGGCAAGAGAGATGCATTGTTCTGGTTTTTTTCTCCCTTTTTTATTTAAGTATACTTGTATTATAATTACTTTAATACCCATTCTGAAGGCTAATGACAGTGGCAATGTATACTTACAACACATATAATGAACATAAACAGAGAGACTCACAATATAATTATTATTTTCTTAAATGCCTAATGTTAGTCTGAACGATTTCAACAACAGATAGTTATTGTTATTGCTATAATTTGTCTTTCTTTTACTCTCTTACCTTTGTTCTTTCGTAAATAATTTAATGAATAGCTTTGGCCTTATTAAAGCGAATCTTTAAGGTACGGTACTTACTCTGATTATAAGACTAAAGATTGCATTGGTTATACCGAAAATCATTTCATAAGGACTGTGTAAATGTTGTGTAGACCTGAATCTTGAGTTTCGGAATTCAAATGACTTTGTCGATGGACTCCTTGATGTTCAATTTTATAATCTACGGTTAGTTTTCTTCACTCATTCAGATATTAAACTATGGCATACTTTGTGAAATATTCACAGTGTGTCTCTGTGTGTGATGAACTAAATAAAAAACTTGATACACATTTTTTTCGCTTTAGAGGATAGGAAAAGTAACGGTAGCAAAGGTGTTATAGATAATGTATATAAAAGAAAAAGTACATACAATCAATATATTTCTTCATATCGTCTTGGCCTAGAAAAATTTAATATTAACATTTTAGTTGTGTTTTTATAGAGATAAAACATTTAAACGTCCATTAAGTGACAAATTAGTTTTCGTCTTATCGTTACGTTTACCTTCATTCTTATAGAGATAATAAATAGTTTATTTAACGTGCAGAACGCATAACATTGTCTGTAGGTGTAGTCTTCGATTCGTTATTTAATAGTTTTCTTTATATCATAATTAAAAGATTATTAGCTTTCTAATGTCTTGCGTTAAACTGTAATAGGTTTAATTAACCAAGTAATAGATTTATTTTCTCAAAGGAAATATTTTTGTTTTCTTACAAAAAAAGTATTTGTTTATTATTGTAAAAGAATACGCCCCTTATAAGATGATTATAGCATAAGTAAAATGACTATAATGGTCTAGAATAAACGATTTTTATCTTGAAGTTATACATAGCTTTTATTTGACTCTTACACGACTGCGTTATATTAAAGGCTAATATAAATTAAAAACGGAAAAGTGTTAGTGTTAAACAATACATAAGTTATAAACAACATATTAGGTGAGCTAACGGTTGAGTTTCTTATAAAATCTTTCAACTTGCATACGGTACAAAATACTTTAGTAAACGCCAGGCATAACTTTAACAGACTATATTCATTAATTTTCTTCAATCACATTTTAATAATTTATTAACGATGCGAATTATTTTCTGGCGATTGTAAAATTTGAATCTTTAACATAAAACACGTGGTAATAGTATTTTGTGCAAAGTACTGCCCCTTGCTAGTCAACATTCCTCTCTTCTTTTAGGCAGAATTTAAAAGGACAGCAACACGTTTTTTAAAGTTTCTCAGATAATAAACTCTCGATTGAAATCAGCGTTAATTAAAACGACTGGTATCCCTTGAATATAGCGGGGACTGTAGCACGTTTTAGTTGAGTACAGTTAATGTTCCTTAATGTTTTCTGTTTTCTTCTGCATCGGAATCGAGCTTGTCGCATATCACATCTATCTGTCGGCTCAGTTACATTAATCGCTGCTGGCAGAGTTTTCTGGTAATAATTTTGGTTAGTTGCGGCGACTAGTAATATATGTAATGTATGCTGCATTCAGTCGACTACTCCATAGAGTATCATGGATATTCAAGTTTATCTTTGCTTGGTAACGTTTCGTAACGTTTGCGTTACGTTTATTTGCCCTTTGGACGTTGTCATGTTTTCGCTGTTCAGCAGCATTTACCAACTGAACTGAACAGTAAATGCCAAACTCCCCAGAAATGAAATTTTTCGTTACAAACAACGAACTACTTCAAGGTCTAAGAAAACCATATCCAGTACGTTAACTCGTATTTTTCTGTATGAAGTTTAAATGTCGTACTCTCAGAGGGAGGGAGATAGTTTGTATATTTATTTATTTAGCATCCTATAGTGCTTCATTCCTCTTAGAGAGCCGTAAGAACTTACCCAACGCCCCAATAAACTCATTACGATGCCTTTGAAAAAGCAACCAAAATGGGCGCCCGCACAATCGGGGTTGATATCCTTCGGCATAACCTGAGCTACGCAACACATTGCTTGACTACACATTTTTTGTGAACGATATTGTAAAAATCGAATATAATTGAGTTTATATTCCGTCAGACAGTAAGTTTCGCAATCAATGTGTGAAATATCCATCTGTAAGCTATTCATGTGAGATTTGTAAATGATTTCGGAAAAAAAAAAAATAGGTTCGCTCTACACATACCGTTTAAAGTAAGATAGTTCATGAAAAATGTTCCTTTTTACAAATGTAGTTTATTTCATAGGACTTCGAAGTGATTGTTTTATAGTTCACCGAAAGAAGTTTGACGACAATATCTCAAAAAACCAAACCATATTTTTATTACATCCCGAAAATTAGGCAATAAATGAACAAGATGTTAGTTTATGATAATAATTGCGGAGCGCTCCCTGTACATTTAGATAAACTTTTACGTCATATAGACTTACTTTTACCTATGGAGAAGCCGGTTTGCATTATGAGTTTCAGAGTGCAACAAAATTGCATATAACTGTACGAATATATATAAGAGATATGTAAATGAACTCGTTCCACTGAAATTGGTTGCCTCATAAAAGGCTTGTTAAATTTGCACGAAACTTCAGATGTAGGTAACTTCCATGTTGATGTTTGAACGATTTAAATGTCGGTTGCTTACAAGCTGCCGCTTAGGCTATATCAAAGCTTAAAGAGACGTACGTGATTCACGGCACTGCACTTTTCTTTGTTTTTAATAGAAGATGCAGCAGCTAAAGCTACGGATATTACCTGCTTAGGAAAGTTGGCTTGGAATGAAAATGCAGTAACTACGAAACGTTTAGGAAGTGCTTTTCGAGATTTCGGGTAAAAAATTTTAGCCGTGAAACAAAATTCGCATACGTTTGTCCGTCTCCCGTTAAAACAACCAAGGAAATAATTTTTAGTGTACTACGCATATTCTTCAGAAATGGCTGCTTCCAATTACCAATTATGCAGATCGATGCATCGACTCATATTTGGCAGGTCAGCAGCTGCAGGAGTTGGAAATATACGAAAATGGGTCGATGACTAGTTCGCCTCTAATTCCATAAGTTTCTGCAGCTAGGACATCCACAAGCTACGTGATAAATGGCGAAGCATCATAGACAATGGTGGCCCATATTTCGATTATGTAGCTTTGGAACAGGCTTTGTTTATCAGAAAACAATGTAAACATTTCATTTAAAGAAACAAATAACTTTTTAAGTTTCGTCGGTTACCTAAAATTTGATTTTCGAATTTCGTTTTTTTTTTTGTTATATTGGCGTAACGTCTCAATGCAAGCGGCCAGAGGAGCCAAGAGCTTAAAGAGCTTAAAGTTATCCACTGTTTGTGCGAAGCCATTCGGAAATAACGTCCGGAATTGTGAAACAACTAGTCATGAATATTGCACCACGATAATATGTCCGCGCGCATGTCATTGCTTGTTCGTAGCCTTTTGGCCAAAAACAACACCGTAAACATGCTTAAGTCTTAATCCTGTGGCTTTTTCCTGATCCCAAAACTGAAAAGACCCATAAGAGAACGGAATATCGCCACGATTAAGGATATAAAGATCACACACATATATCATATGCTTGTCTGAATGTTTATATTTTCGACATTTTTTAAGCTAAGGCTATAAATAGTTATTTGATTTTGGGTTTCGTATAACTCAGGAAGCATGCTAAAATTTCTATATGACAAACTTTGTCTTTCTTAACATATTTTCTTTCCGTAACAACAAAACAGATTATTTTCATATATAATATACTATATGCGAAAACTCTTTTTCGGCATGTCTAGCCTATGGACTTCTTGAATGTACCCGCCGAACTTAATATCCATAAAATATTTAATTATATTAAAGATATTAGACGATCCTTCTAGTTTACCTTCCAGGAAAAAGAAGAACCGGCAGGCATGGCTGTTAGTGACCTTCCCATTTTTCTTTGGCTTAAGTATATTATAACAGATTCTAAATGCTTGCCTCTGCACTATGAGCTTTATGCTGTAGCATACAGGGTAGAAATTCTTGAACAACTTACTTTAGCATAAAGACAAACGTCAACAATTTTTCACCACAGCTATAAAATCTAGCGAATAGGAAAACTCATTTGTTAACAGTTGTTCAATATCAATAATTAAAGTAAACAAAAAAATGATGAAATAAGTTTTATAAGCGAAATTTCTGAAAAAAAAAAGTGATTAAATATTCTTTAAACGTTAATACATTACACATTTTATTGCAGTAAGATTGTGCGATTAGATTTATTATAAACAAAGAGTAAAGTATTCGAAGAGAAAAATGAATGGAGAAAATTGTAACCAACGAGTTTTGTTCTCTCAAAAAATCACTCAAAATTCACAAAAATAAATAACAGATAACGAACGGATGACTCACGCATAAAATCATTTATATGCAGAAGATAGTCATTCATACGAACTACAAAAACTCATACCTTTAAGAGAAATGAGTTTATTATTGGTCAACATTCTTCCAGACTACGACTAAGTGAATAAATAATTTCAAGTAAATTTAACATTTCGGTCGATATCTATCGAAAACTTTGAAGAAAAAAAAAAAAAAAGCAGAAGAAGAAAAATGTCTGATTTAAATTTACATTTCGCTCGCAATTGCGCTGAATTTTGTGTGGAATTCTTTCAAAAGTTGGCCGCTGGTGGTATTAAAGAAAATATCATTTTTTCACCGTTTTCGGTACAAAGTTGTGTGGCGCTAGCTTTTGCCGGCGCTCAAGGAGATACCGCTAATGAAATTGCGACTGTTTTAAAATTTACTTCCAATTCGGTATCAGAAGTGGCCAAAACATTTGAGTATGTATTGGAGAATTATAAAAACAGTGAACTATTGAAAATCGCGAATAAAATATGTGTGCAGCAGGGTAAAGCTATCAAACCTGAATACGCTAACCTCGTTAAGACTCATTTTCAGGCGGAAACAGAAGAATTGGATTTCAATGAAAATGAGACAGCTGCCGCTAGTATTAATGATTGGGTGGAACAAAAAACAGCCGGCAAAATTACAGAACTAGTATCCGCTGATTGTTTTGACTCGATGACACGCATCGTATTATTAAACGCTTTACATTTCAAAGGGTATTGGGCGAAAAAATTCGATAAAAGTCAAACAATTAAAGATGATTTCTGGATATCTTCAGAGGAATCGGTTCAATTAGAGTATATGACGCAAAAGTCTAAATTTGGTTACGGATACTTTGATAATTTGAATTGCACCGCTTTGGAAATGCCGTATGAAAATTCCGATTTAAGTATGTTTGTGTTATTGCCTGGTGAACGTGATGGCTTAAAAAATTTAGCGGAACAATTAAAAGAAGTGAATTTGGTTGATTTGGCTGCGAAAATGCACCAAGAAGAAGTCGCAGTGAAGTTTCCGAAATTCACAGTCAGTTATCAGACGGAATTGTCTGATATACTTAAGCGGATGGGTACCAAACGAATGTTTACCGATACAGCAGAATTCGGTAATATGTTAGAGAGTCCCGAAGATTTGCATGTTTCTAAAGTATTGCATAAAGCGTGCATTGAAGTCAATGAGGAAGGTACGGAAGCGGCAGCTGCTACCGGTATAATAATGATGACGAGAATGATGTTGTTGCCCACGCAATTTATAGCCGATCATCCGTTTTTGTATATGATTTGGAATAAGAGAAACATTCTATTTGCTGGAGCCTTTGTTAACGCACCAGATTCTTAAAAGCGCAAGGATGGAGTTCGGAGTTGTTTGGCTTAAGCACTTAAAGTATTAAATTTACAATATTTTTTATTGCAAAAGTATTACATACATTCATACAAATACTAATTAAATAGATTTAGATAACTTTCACAATAAACCGCGTACATAAGCGAATTTCTATAGATTTATTCACGAAACGCGTTAAGATTTTCGAACAAATTTCTTGGCGAATTTAAGAATTGATTTCACCATTGACTATATGGATAAATTTATTTAAGAGAAAATGCTTATTATCTGCTTCTTATATACCGAATTCCCTAAACCAGTTACTTTCAAGCTAGAAAGTGTGCTACTGTCGCTTTTCACAGAATGTCAGTGAAAGATGTGTCGTTGGCTAATGACCTTAGAATGGAAAAGTTTTGCTTTCTCTAGGGGGAAACTTATAGATCACTACTTTAGTTACTGCTACTTTTACTACCGCTAGAGAGGGAGGAGTGTGCGAATTTTCTTCCCTCTGAATACCTCCTTCGACTAACCTACCCTGAGCTGATTATTATTATTATTTATTTTTTATTATTAAAAAGGAATTTTTTAGTAGACAATTTCTGTAAATCATTTCTGTGTAAATGCAATAATTTTTTGAGACAATATTGCACGCAATGCAACAGAAACTGACTGAAAAAACTGACTTCTGACGCGGCTTCAATAAATATGTTGATCAAAAATATGTTTATTTTATTGAGCTCCATGTGTAGTACAGCAAAAAGCAAGAGTTAAGAAATTCGCCATAAGTAAATATAAACTCTTCGTTATAGTAGTGTGATTAGTAATCATATTTGGCTGCCGTTCAATTCATACCGGTTCGTAAATGACGAAATATATACATTGCACGATAGCGTATAGACAATAAGAGACCGGCTATGCCATCACATAACAATACTTATCTTGTTCTTTATATATTTTTACTAGTATGTCGTTGAGAGCTTATTTAAGCGAGACAGAGAAAGTTTTTTGTTGTGAATCAAACTCTTTCTCTTGCTCCATACGCCATACGCCAAAGAGAGAACAACAAGTAAATTAAAATCTTTCGAAACAACTTTTTTGTGAAAAAGATAAACAAGCATTTATAAAGAAAAGTTTAGTGTTACTGTTGAAAAGTGCAAACATCAGAAAATCTTTTTCCACTTACTGCCAAAAAGAGTCTTTTACACGCGTCTCTGGAAGTATTTTAAACTTGCCAGATGTTTGTGATGCATTCAAATATGCTTGAGAGAATAAATAATGTATATATAAATTTAAATATGTGTGTTGGTCCGTCTTATATCATCATCATTCTAATTATAAAATTTAGTCTGAAAAAAAAAAGTGAACTATGCTCAAAGTTCTCTCTATCTTTCATGTCAGCTTAATAAGACCAAGATTTATTCCTGCATTAACGATGAAGACACCTATAGATAAGATGAAGTAAGCAAATATTGTTTTTAGTCGAAACCTAAAATATAGCTTGCTGTGTATAGTCGATAAATTATATAAAAATTTAATTTACTATAGATATTCGGAGCACCAATCACTTACGACTTATGATTGTTTTAACGTTATTTGGTCTTCGATGCGGATTTCTAAATGTCTTCTGAGTGTGGGGTACTAAAAGGTATCAAAAATATTTTCAAGTAACAATCGTTTAAACTTAAAGTGATAGGTGCTCGAGATTCGGTTTAAAATGACTAGAGTTTCCCCCAAGTTGTAGTCACGCTTTTGGAAAAGTTTCAAGTTTCCCATTTAAAAATGTTGTGTAAGCAGCTATGATTAAGGCTAAACATTTTAACTGTAATTAGTTTATTTCGTGTTTGGAAAATAACAACAATGAAAAGGAAAATACTAAACTACTGGTTGTTTGTTTGCTCTCTGTTAATTGTTGCAAGATTTTCGTAGAAAAGAAGAAAAGTATTTTTTGCCAAAAATATATTTTGCAATAATTGAAAACAGATAGATGAAATCAAAATCAGATATCTTTAGTGAGAACATAGAATTAAAAGAGTTTTTTTTTAAATCAGAAAGAAAGTCGTTTTTTTCTCTTTTTCTTTTTTTTTTTTTTTAAATTACCATATGTTATGTTAATCAACAACCAGTTGAAATACACCGCTCACTTACCGCATATCAAGCCAGAGGTACATCAATGAAACCAAAAATAGTATTCTATTGAAGCGTCAATCATCAGTCAGTTTGTGGTCCGCTGACCAGGCAAAAAAACAAAAAAATACCTAACATACTTGCTACGAACCAACACATGAAAGCATACGTTTGGTTTGAATAGTATAACAATTTCTCGTATTGATTGCATGCGTTAAACGGGCGCACATTCCTTCACGTACCAGCTTACGTACGTATGCACATTAGCCATATATCAGGTTTAACAGACAAATCACACACAGAAGAACACCGAAATATATGCAGAACAATAAAAACAAACCATGGAAATGAAAGCGTCTACCGTACACACATATGGTTAAGAACAACATTGCCGTACATCGTGATTTTGTTGAATGCGATTCTTTTTTTGTGCTGTTTTGCTTGTTGCTGTTTGTTTGCTTGTGATTGCATTTCTATTGCTATTTTAGCTTTTGTTCGAAAGGTATTCTATGGATTTGGCTTACTAAAGAGTATATTTGGGTTCGTATTATGCGGTCAGTTTGTGGAATTATTTAGGCTGTGTTTTCACTAAATTTTGCGTAAAATTAAATGACCACTGTTGATAAGTAAAGTTTAACCAGTTATTTAGTTAATTATCGCAAAACCACCTTTTTGTTGTTAAACTATTTAACAATGCTTTCCCAAGCGGTGCAAACGTGATTTGAATTAAGTTATTTAAGTCTGGTCTATTAGTAACAGAGAATGCACACGCAAACAATGAGAAAGTTATATCCGCTTTGGGACGAATTTTATATACCCATCATTTCGAGCGTGCATATAAAAAGCTTGAACTGTGCACATTATCTATCGTTTGATCATTATCGAACGTTTAAACGTTCATCTTACTTACCTATCTATCTCAAGTTTTGAAAATATTGCTTTATAATGACAAAAGAGCTGTTGTCGAACTACTTCTGCAAGCATTACGCAACCTTTTCAATTTCAAAATCAGCTAACGTAACCTAATAGGCATTTAAATTGTAAGAACAGGCTGCGAATAAGGCTATGGACGAACGCGACGATTGCAAGCAAGATAACATTACTTTAGCTTCAGTCGGTGTAGTATAGGATTTATAGGATATTTGGCGCTTAGTATTCCATTAAGAGAGCGACTTCACAGCCATGGTTTGGTGGCAGGAAGAAACCAAGAAGAAAGAAAGTCTTGATTTCATTAAAATTTTTTTGCCTAAAGATTCCAAAAATAGCGCAGCGATAAGTAAACTAAAAGTTATCTAAGAGAAGTGTCAAAACATTATTAATTAAAATTGCACATATTTGGTTTAATATATCTCATTTAAAATGCAAGAAAGAGATATAAGAACTTTTTACAGGTAGCAGTAGATAAAAGATATTCGAGTTATTTAAAAAAAACGCCGCATCACCTTTGGAAATGTTTATAAAAGTTGTGAAAACTTTTCATTGCCTATATTCAGGCGGTCGATGAAAATTAAATTGTAGTCTGTATATAATAATAAGGTGCTTATTGAAATTTCTGCTCTTCGCGTGCCACTACACAGGCAGACCTTTGTATTGTTAGACTAAGTCACTAATTGATGGCTTAGTAATGATTAACATAATATGATAAAAGTAATCAAGAAAAACATGATTTTTAAATTATATTTATACGCATTTACTAAACAATCACGTCATATATTTATTTATTACAGATTAAAATTATATTTTCAAGATAATTTATGTTACTTTGGATTGTAACAATAAGTTGTGATGTAAGAAAGAGTTAAGTACTCTTAAAATTCGTAGCATTTAATAGGTAGCGGGAGGGAAGAGCCTAGGCGATCTACAGATCAATTAAGCTGATTTTTTTTTTGACTTAACTTGATAAAAGAGAGATTTTAAAATGCTTGTTAACTTCTTGTGAGTGGCTTGATTTTAAAGAACCGAAGCATTTTTGTGCGCGCTTTTTTCGCTTGTCATGGCCATATATGTTATTGAACATTCAGTGCGTATTGTTGCTCATTACGAGAAATAATCGCAATAAACTTCCTGTAGTGCATGTAAAGCCTTGAATGTGAAAGGAATCAACTGAAATCGTGTAGAAATTTTTTCTTGTTTAAAATAAATTTCCGGAATTACCAATATTTTATTTTAATAACAATTTTTTTTTTTTTGCTTATTCTTCCGTTTCAGTATGTTATAGTATCCGTTGAGATAGAAATTTACACGTTTATCCGAAAAGAGAAATACAAGTGAAATAAATGTTTAAATGTACTTTTGCTTAATGAGGCAACAAAAACAATTTAAGATTTATTATTTCTCTGATATTTACGCAGGAACATGTATGAACAAATAGTCGAGCATACGCAAGTGTACGCAACAAATGTTATATGCTGCCAAAGTCCACAGCCGCACATGCACAGGCATATGTATAGGCATTGCTTGTGCATTCAACAGTTTATTATTAAATGATTTTAAATTATTTCCTATACATTGTATATTAAAAAGAAGTAAAATTAAATTAAATATAAATTTTGGAAATTATTATTAAAAAAATAAACTTTTTTTTTTTTTTTTGCTATAATCTATTAAATGGCATTAACATAACGTCAAATCGGGAAAGAATGTCGGTTTAGTAATTCAAGCTTCGAAAATATGTTATTGATTGGGTTAGGCTAGGTTCGATGGTCTTTCCCCAAGCCACATTATTTCTTAGGATAATTGAAGATTTATTGTGATAAGACTTTAGCAGTTACATAAGTTTATATAGAGCTGTAAGTTATGGTATACCAAGATGACCTTTAAGAACAAGGCCGATGATGAGTAAAGGGATGTGGAAGGAAGCTTGGGGGGGGGGAGGGGGGGGCAAGGTTATCCAAATACTTTACACAATAGACGGAAAGAAAAGTTTTCTTGTAAATACCATGCGTCTGAGAAGTTGAAACGCTTACAACCATCAAACAAATCCGTTTCTTCAAACACATCGCGCTTCAAAATACTAACGGCCCTTAAAAAGTAAAATTATACTATTCTCACTGTAGTTGGTATTTCTTACCGTTCTATTGAAACTACTTCTCACTAACGTTTTCGTTACTTTTTATTACGAAAGAAATTTTTTTAATGTTTGTTAATTCCATACTACGTTTGTTTTTCTGTTATCGTATTGATAATAAGGCATTGGTTTCTTGTGTTTTATAATGACTTTTGCTTCAAAATATAAATTTATGCGTAGACTCATATTACGTTCTATCCTGTACATCTATATAAGATTATCTTGACGCTTGCGAGTGCATTATATAAATAAAGAAAGAGGAAAACTTGGAGAAGTTAACCAATCAATTACTGGCAGCGAACTTACTGATATCTTTAATATGTTTATTAGTATTCAAAGTCACTGGAAATTTTACTGCCTGTGGCGTTTTACTACGAAGCATGGCACGAGTCATGATTTAATGTGGATATTATTGTGCTTCTGTAAAAATCTAACAGTGGTATCGTCCTATTAAACTTGTTTTTCTGTGTAGCCTAAAGAAGAGTTTT